GATTTAACGAAGCAAATCAATCGCTGGGAAGCTTGTCTCGTAAACAGACAGATAGTGAGAGAATAGTCAAGCACAAGAAGCAATGCACCCCTGCTTAAGCATCAAGCTTCAAGCCTTAAGCCTCTTTGTCCACTAGGCTCCAACGCCCACGAGTGGATTATTTAGATTTGAAGGACTCTAATGTTCACAAGTGGACATCAGATTCCCTCCGCGCACAAACCGGTCTAGTTCACTTCACTGTCGGTGACTGGGTCCGGTTCGCAGCTGAAAATCAAAAATGCATCCCTCGTCGTCCGTTCGCCTGGTTGAATGGGGTATTCTCACAGTGAAATGGCATGCAATCAAGCCCAACGGTCCGGAGCAACTCTCCCAAACTGGATATCTTCATCCGCCAAAAGTCAACATTGGACATGAATTTGACCGAAAATATTTATATCCTGGGTAATGTGTTTGAACACATTAGTGTTTTTGTTTACGAGGATGCCTTAGATGCATTTTGCAAAGCAGCCGCTCATTGTGCCGGGATGTATTCACGAACCAAAGCTTATGAGAATAAAAAGTTATCATATTATTACGCAAACATAACAATCACCACGGTACGTCACTGAGTGGAAGGGAGTGCTTCATCTCTAAGACTATCAAAAGATGACGAAACATGATTTAAAAACGCTTTCTGGGCGCGGTCATGCTGTTGAGTTTTGCAAACTAACTCTGAGAGTACCTAGCTATGACAGAATTTGCTCCTTTGATTAGCACATGATATCACATCCAGTCACCAACCAACACGTCGGTGGTTGGAAAGGTCGCTGACCTTAGATGACGGCATTCCTGATCACGTGACACTTCACCAATGATGTGAAAATTTGGGAAATTGTAAATGTCGTCGAAAAGTCACATCCAAGCATAATTCAAGTGGCATATGCTTTGCAACCGCCAGAATCTCCAGCCTCACGGTGTTTAGTCCAAAGTGGGCTGTAAAGGCCTAGACGCAGTGGGATGCGCGTTCATTCACATAAGGTCTTCTTGCAAATATATGATTAATGTAGAACATTAATTAATTGATAAATGGAGCCACGCTTGAGCATCAGGCGTTTTCCAAATGCCCTTAAATTTCTTCGGCTTGGTACAGTTTTATGTAGTACTTCTATAGTTTGCCATTGCTTGGCCGTTTTTCACAATAAGAATAACTCATAACTACGAGATAACTTCGTTAAAGCACGAATGGGCGCTTGATTTTGTAGGCCAGGCCTTTCCACTTGCAATTTCAGAGCGATGTCAATATAAGGTTTGGGTAGTTGAAGGCTTTAACAGTCGTTAATTTGATGCAATACCGCACGCTTAACAGATGCTTTAGATTGTGAAATGCGAATTAAATACGGATGTGAAAGAATGTGGTTGGTGATAGTGCGAAATACCAAAATTCGGTGTACATCGTCTTTCCTCTAACCTCCAGGAACTGAACAATGCCGTAAAGTACTGTAGACATTGCTGTAAAGTAATGACTTACTTAAATTAGCAGTCAACAGCTAAGGCTTTCAGACAGCATTACTTTATCACCATGCAGTTTCGGATTCCATCTATACCATGCAGCATGTGGCATTGATTTCCGAACGCTCCACATGTTCAAAATGGGCCTGGCATTTCCGCCGAGGCCGGCATAGCTTGCTGCCAGTGTCTCGTAAGCCCTCTCGCAAGCACGGCGCTATAGCATAAACGACCGTAGAGTGGATACCCAGCGCGATAACCAGGGCTTTAAGCGGGGCAATAGACCAAGTAGATTACCAGAAATGCAGTCGTTCGGACCTGATCAAGTTTAAGGACTCGCTCGACTCACCGCGTTCACGAGCGCCGTCGATAGCATGCCGTGTTTGGAGCATCCCGAATTGTTCCAGGACGCAGGCCATGACCGTAACAAGGCAGGCTGGCTCACTTCAGCGGAGTGCTGGCAGCGATGCTTGCTGGAGAATTGTAAGAGCGTAGGACTATTCATGGCAGACCGAGCTTCGCAAGGCTGCAGTCACAGCAGCCGCGACGCAAACGTCATCTACCAATTCCATTATCAAGAGGTCCAGCTTGAACGTCACTGTATTTGTTTTTGCAGGGATGAAACCAAACATTATGCTTCGCGACTTCTTTCGTTTCGCTTCTTTTGTCTGTTTTGTTCAGCTTGCGTGGATTAATAAGCTGATAACTGTGTGCCTCTACAGTTGTGTCATTCTCAGCCCCAAGCAAGCAATGCAAAAGCGGAGTTTTGTCCCTGGTCAAAGGCTGGGATGGGATGTCCCGGGATGCGATCGGATCCTAGAACCATCAAATGGGATATCCGAGGACGCGGATGAGCTTTTTCCCACACCATGCTCGCGTTCTCGGTGTCTATTTCCACATAGTTGGAGCGCGGCCGTGTGCTTTCCCACGTTGCCACCACGAGGGGCAGATTCCCTGCCCAAAAAGCATATATTCTGCGTAACCGGACGGCGTAACCGGACGGCTAAATCTGTGCGCACAAATTGCCAAGTGTCTCACTTCGACTTCAAATAGCTATCCCCAGACTCTGAAGCTCCGAATCAATCAACAGTTAACGCTTTCCAGACGACCATTTGACATGGTTGTTGACAGCTTGACGCTGTCATTGCTTGGAATGAGCCCGCTCAGCGGCGCGGCCAGGAAGCGTTCACTCCGAACAACCGTGCATCAACACCATCGTCTGATGTACTGCACGCCAGCAATGACGTCATGATAAGGGTCGGTTTTGATGTTCTCCTCTATGTCGCTAACGGCATACTTCTCCTGGTCTTCAATGACCTCTTTTTTGACATCAGCAGCTATAAGTTCTCCGAAGTCAGTGATGTTGTCCTCCCGACATAAGTAATGAGATGCTCATCAACGTTGGCAGTTACGTCTTCCTCAACGTCAGCATTGATGATATGATCCCCAAGATAAGTAATGATGTGCTTTTTTCAATGTTGGTGACGACACCTCCCTGAGGCCTGTAATGACGCCGGAAAGCCGCCGGAAGGATCTGAAGGATCCTTCTAAACGCCGGAAGGATCTGACAAACCCCGCCCGACTGTCCGGTGCGACAGCGTTTACGGGTCCCATCCGAGTCACCTTCGAGTTACACCCGAGTCACACCGGTCTTATCCAAGTCACACACCCGAGTCACACACTCAACTCACACACCCGAGTCACAAACCCGAGTCACACACTCGCGCCACACCGGTCTTATCCAAGTCACACGTTCGAGGCACGCGCCCGAGTCACGTACCCGAGCCACACACCCAAGTCACAAAGCCCGACTCACAAACCCAAGTCACACATTCAAGTCACGCACCTGAGTCACACATACGAGTCACACACCCGAGACACACACACACACACAATTCACACCCAGTCACACCCGGTCGTACTCGGTCACATCTGAATCCCACCCGAGTCACATCTTAATCCAACCGGTCACACCGTCACATTCAAGTCACATCCGAGTCACACCTGAATCACACCCGGCCACATCCGCGCAGCGGCTTCAGCTGCTTCGGCTGCTTCGGCTGAGACGCAGTCCACTGCTTCGATGGCTGGGGTGGCACGCCGCTGCGGGGGCCTGCTCAGTTCATGGCGGGCTTCCCCGGTGCGGCAAGAGCAGTCCGCTGCTCCGATGCCGCGGGGCGACGGCACGAGCGCGGCAAAAATGGCGCAGCTCAGACGAAAGGACAGATGAGTGGCCGGGATGTTTGGGCTGGAGCCTTGTTAAGGCTTTGCTTCGGTGGCACAAAGGGATTGCTATCCGTTACAGCATGGTTTGAGCTAGAGGCTATTTAAGACCATGTTTTGATGGAACAGAGCAATGACTGTACGGTGACAGCAATGTTTGTTCCCACGCTTCAGGTGGCGCGATAGGCTGCGAAACTGATGGGGCCATGTCGGGTGCATGCGCCACCTGCGCATTCGAGCTTGACTTAGATCATCAGGAGATGCTTCAGAGGCTCAGCAAACAAGTTTGATCGACACGGACAGACGGCAAACTATGCTGCAGCAATTCTGGTGCAGCGGAGTTCGTCGATTTTTGAGCAGAGCTGGATCCGTGATGTGTTTGATATAAGAAAGACGGAAAGAAATGTGTTCAGCTCCTCGTTTCCGACGTCATGAGTTCAGGTCTTTATGTAGAGTTAACGACCCTCAATGTTCCAGGAGATGCTCGTTAAACAACATTGTAGTGCCTATAACAAATCAATATAGTAATATAATCGTTATCTACCGCTGCAAAGTCGTCTAAAAAACATCACCTGGTAGACTGAAGGCCGTTAACACCAAGTAAAAACTTTGGCTTGCTAATACGTTATTTGTTTTCCCCTGCCAGGCTCAGAAGCGTATGATCTATGATCTTCGTATGATCTATGATCTTCGTATGATCGTATGATCTTCTCGACGCAATCTCCGTGCTACGCTGAGACATTCCACACGGACCAGTAAGCAGAGGCGCTCTCGTCTTGCCGGCGAATGACAATGCCATTAATTCTCATCATCCGTAAACCTGTTCTCACGTCCGTCGTTTTCCCAGACGTCCATTCATTCGGAATGGAAAATTCTGGTGGAAACGGGTTGTGATGTAGCGGGCGTGATTTGCCATGTGTTTAGTCAGTAGTCCTGATCAGCATTTAAAAGCGGACAAAGTACCACATGTGATAGAACGCCAAGCACATTAATTGGACGGCAAGTCGGTGGGGCATGCTTAGGCTGTCCTGTCAGATCGTGGCACGCCAGGTGAGGCTGGGTGAGAGGGCCAGCCCAGGTAAGGTCATCCAAACAAGATACACGACTTGCAAAACATGAGCATCTCGGGATGGCGACAGGAGTTTAGTTGTTGTCCGCACATCAAAATGCCTAAATACCACCTAACTAAAGACGCCATCTAGCCTAAACATTTCCACATATCATCGCTTCTTGGGTTCGAGCCCCATTGCGCTTCTTTTCATTCATCATGCAGCCTACATGACAAGAGGCTGTTCCAAGGCGGTCATATATATTTAGCCTGCTGATGTCAAAAAATGACCAAAAGCAATTAACACCAGATGCACTCGTTGCATTCATCCAACTTTAAACGGCATACAATTATATCGCATTTCACTTTCGGCACATGCTGGCGGACAATGTAGCGTGATAGGCGTTGGCGAGGCAAGATTACGAGCACGCAGTGCATTGTAAGGTATTTGGAACACCTATACAAAACATTTCTGAACTGCGTGCTTTTCAACAGCGGAGTATGCTGCTACCCACGTGCTATCTCGTCAATCTTACGAGGGGGAGGGGGGGGGACCTGGTTATATCGTGCATCCGCACCGCCCATCACGCACCCCTTTTGTGTCCCTCATCAAATTCCACTGACTTCAACAAGAAAACATTGTGCGTTCCACAGAGACTGTAACGCCGTCATATCTACCAGCCCCCCCCCCCCCCCCCAATTACCTCCAAACGAAAACAAAGCATGCTGCTGCTACGTTGGAACCGTGATGGAGCCGCGCTTCGTTGTTGCCAGGATGCCATGCTGCCATGTTGCCATGTTGCAGACTTAGCCAGGAGTGCCGCTAGACCTAAAACAAGGAGGCCTCTCGCTTCTTCTGCGCCTTCTTCCACGCCGGCAGACGTTGGAACTCCTCCCGCGTCATGCCGAACGCGTCCTTGAAGTCTTCCGGCGACAAATAGTCCTCGCGTCGCGCCGGATTAACACCCTCGGGCGGCCGGCGCGCGCGCAGCGCCTCTAGCGGGAACACCGGCAAGCCCTCGCCGGCGTCCTCTCCCGTCGGCGGCGGCGGAAGCGGCGCGGCGGCCACCTCCTGCTGCACGGCCGGCCAGGTCGGCTGCGCAGCCCAGAAGTCGGCGTCCCATTCGGCGAAGCAGCCGGTGAAGATGGGCGGCTCGGCCTGCTGGTGCACCCGGTACACGGGCGTGTCCGTGCCACGGCCGGCCGGGTCGGACCGGAGGTACTCCAGCGCCACCGTCTCGCTGCGGCGGCGCTCGGCGCGGTTGGCGCGCACGCTGAGCCACACGAACACGGCATCCCACGTGTCCAGCAGCATGACGTCATCCTCGCCGAGGTCGGCCTGGTCGAAGTCGACCACCTCCTCGACGCGGAAGCGGCCCAGCGGGCTCGAGCAGTGGAAGAGACGCGGCGGCATCCGCGGTCGGCTCGCGGCGCGCGGCTCGTGGCTGTACTCGCCGCGCCCACCCAGCGCCTCCCAGAACGGCGCCGGCTCTTCGGCCTCGTCGACGACGACGGGGTGAGGGTCGAGCTGATGGGCGACGGCGCGCGCCGCCTCGCGCTCCTGCTCGCCGGAGCCGCGTCCGCACCACGCGAACACGCAGGCGGACGTGGACAGGACGAAGGCGTCGTTGGAGTGAAGCGACGCCGCGCAGCGCGGCACTTCGCACGCCCTCGCGCCGTGGGGGCCGACGCTGGCGATCTGCAGCAGGTATGCGTCTCCGAGAGCCCGGTCGTCCGCTTCGGTCGCGCTCCTCGCTTCGCCATAGGCTTCCGCGTCGCCAGCGGCAGCGGCAGCGCCGCCATCGCGAACGACGATGACGCCGCCGAACATGGCGACGAAGTGGGGCGGCTCCCTGCTCTGGACGATGCGCACCAGCACGGCCCTGCCACCCACCTTGCCGTCCAGCTCAGCAGCCTTCTGGGACGCTACAGCGCGCGCCTCCTCGTCGCTCGCCGTCCCCAGCCAGTAGTAGACGATGTAGCGCTCCCGGCCGGCCACGCGGTAGCAGTACTGCACGACGTAGCAGTCGCTGGAGAGGAAGGTGCCGTGGTCCCGCACCGGCAGTGGCGCCAGCTCGCTCCCCTCCACTCGCCAGACGTCCTTGTAGCCCGAGCCGTCGTCAACCATCTGCGTCCGCGCGGCCAGCGCAGTGTTGTTGTGCAGCATGGCCGCGTCAAACTTGGTGAGCACCGGCTTAATGGCACGGCCCGGCGACACCAGGTCGTCGTCGTCGACCCACGCGGCGAACAGGCTCCTGAACTCGGCCGGCTCGGAGCCGTCGACGACGCGGCAGAGGGGAACGTCGGCCGACCGGTCCGTCTGCGCGAGGTAGGCCTCGGCGGGGCGCAGGTCCTCCGCTCGCTGCTCCTTGACGGCGCGCCGGCTCACCCAGAGCCAGACGACGCTGCCGGCGTCGACGACGTAGACGTGATCGGGCGAGAGGTCGCCCTGCACCAGCCCGCCGGTCTTCTCCAGCTGCAGGCTGACCTGACCGCCGTCCTCCGTGCAGAGCCAGAGAGAGACCTCCTCCGCAGGGCGTCGCTGCGGCGCGCTGCCCAGGAGCGCCTCATCGGTCTCGCGGATCACCCTCTCCGTCAGAGGCAGGAGCGCGTCGAGCGCCACGCGCTCGTCGCCCGTCAGGGATCGCTCCTCGCCGCTGGCGACGATCACGACGCGACGAGCGCGCCCGCGCCGCGCCAGCGACTGCGCCAGGTACGCCGCCTGGATCTTCTCCAGCCCGTTGGCCGTGCGGCCGCACCAGACGAAGACGAAGCGCTCTGCGTCGATCACGAACACGTCACCGTCGTTGACGTGCTTCCAGGATACCTCCGGCGTCTGGCTGATGACCGCCCTCCGCTTCCCCTTGACGTGGAACATGCGCGGCGTGAAGCTATCCTCCACGTGGCGCAGGCCGCTGCCGGTGCCGCCTTCGAGGTACCGGATCCCGCCACGGAAGTACGACCGGAACCGGGTGCTCTCGTACCGCTCCCTCTCCCTGTGCAGCACCGGGCGCCCGCCAAGCAGCTGGTCCAACTGCACCGCCATCGCCGACGCCACGCCCATCTCGTCCGGAGAGGTCTGCGACCCGAGCCAGAAGTGGATGTGGAGCGCCAGCGCGCCGCGTGACCTCGCACCTGCGACCAACTGCTCGGCGGCCGAGTACACCAGGTACGAGTCGCCGCGGTGGAACAGGCCGTGCTCCCCGGCAGGCACCTCGCGCAGCTTCAGACGCTCCACGCGCCACACAACGAAGGCCGGCGTGTTCGGGATGACGCAGGCGAAGGCTGGGTCGGTGCTGGCCATGGTTCTCGCGCTGCTGCTGCTGATGGGGAAGGTCCGGGCGGGTCAGCGACTTAGGCTGCGCTGGCGTCGTTGTCAGACGACTGGTCCGAGCAATTCGACTTTTGAGTATCCTCCGGTTTGAAGATCTTCTTCCGCGCGTTCTTCACAACGACTGCAAGTCGAGAGCAACCCACCTGTCTCGACGACTTTTCAACCACCTCCTTCCGTTCCTTGTGTATCGGACGTGAGCTCCTTCAAGCTGACCACTTTTCAGGCGCAGGAGCCGGCAGTTGGCGCTCGCACTGTCACGCCGACGGACCTCTCCTCTCAAATGACTCGATCTTCCTTGCCGAGCCGCCTCCTAACCACTATCAGTCCCGCGTCTTCCTGCCGGCCGCCAGTCTCCGTGGAACGCCGGACATCCCGCCGACAGCCGCCGAGACGGACAGTTCCGGCGAAGGCGCTGTCCGCGTGCGCGTCGCAAACATAGCACGCGGCTGCAGAGTGGTGCCAAGACTCGTGAGTGCGGCTCACGGGGCTCGGAAAGTCCCGTGGCTCGGGAATCACGATAGCGTCACGATTACGTAGCCGACGTGACCGTCTCAGCCGCGCCCCGTCAAGTTTAACGACCGCGCCTTGCTCGAAATCCGACCATTCCCTCGTGCGGAGAGACGTGTGGCGCCGCCGCTGCCGGGCTTTCCAGCGGTAAAAACTCTGGCCAATAACGCATCAGGCAAATGCGGGCACGACAGGGAGTGCCGCTTCGCGTAACCAGGGGAACCGGTGCCGCTCCGAGGGCGCGGCGGGGGCGTAACCGAGCGTGTCCGTCCGCATCCCTGAATCGGCGGGCGACGGCCGCTGCGCTGCGCCTGAGGTGAACGCATCCTGGAATGACGCCCTTATGAGCGCCAGCAGTGTGTTTTCAGCGAAGTGTACAACGACGGCAAAGGTGCTTCATGCTGGGGCAATGTCTCTATTGAACAACACCGCTCATAATTCACCCCATTGGAGGGCCATCTTCGGTCTTTTGTTGACGTCATGATGACGTGTATGAGCCTTACGTAGGGTGTGATGCAAGCATCAGGAGAATGCAACGAGAGTAAGCGTCGATGGAATGATTACGTAAGCTGCCAGTCCCGGCGGATTCAGACAACGGGTGCGAATTGGGGCAGGAAAACACATAATCATCAGCAATTTTGTGAAATTTTCTGCACTTTATGGTGAAAAACACACCCCGGCTTGATGACGGTTCGTTTGATGATAACTCATTAGAAGCTTTTCGCATGCACATCCTAAAAGATCTAGGTGGTCAGTTGTTCATCACTGTGCACGACTGCCATTGCTGTAATGTATGTGTGTATTTGCGCCAGAAAAAAATCTTGCACTTGGCATTTTATGCAACATCCGTTTCAGGAAACGGAGGGTTCATGCAACCAGCTGTTATAGCAGTGACTAATAGCGCATGAAAGCAGGATATCGGTCTGCCATCTAGCGGTGGTGAATGAAACCTCGGGTTGAGTGGACTCTGCGGGTGGGGCGAAGGTCAAGAAACGAATCGGCGATTCACCATTCTATTGACGTTGTGAAAGATCCCCCCCCCCTCAATTTAAAGTAAATTTCCCAGAGATAGGACGGCATAAAACCTAGCTTTAAGACACTTAGCTGTTTAAAATGTAGTTGTAAAAGATGTGACCGATAAAGATTTACCTAACTCTGCGAGTCTATCTGGGGAAACTGGCCCAGCGGGGCGGGACGGGATTTTGGAATTTGGCCGCCGGGCGGGTGCGGATTATCCCAGTCTCAAAAACGGGCAGCTCTCCTTTATATAAACTTGCTTGGTGCTTCAGAAGCGTTATAGGAAAAGACGCCATGTTTTGAGTTTAGTGTTGTGTCTAAGTCAGCGACTGGTTTACCCCATGATATAATATAATCTGACCATGGATTTGTTTGCGAGGTCCTACTCATACTTTTCTAGCTACTTCTATCATTTCATGCATACCAGTATTCTAGGAACTAGTTTGGGTGTAGGGTGACAACCTAGGCCTCCAAGTCCAAGCTCTGGCCTTTTCAAGCACATCTTACCGTGAACATGGGTTTTCAACTTGAAATTGTAGGCACTTCGAGCACCTGGCTTTCCTTCTTCAAAAGACGGTTTTTCCTATTGGGGGGGGATCATTTAGGCCGGGGCCTCCCTCCCCCCCCCCTTTACGCCGGAGGCCTGTCACTCATGCGGCATACGGTCCGGTTCGTCCGGTTCGTCATTCGTCCGCATTCTGTAGCCGACTTTGGTTCCGAGTGACACTCATCGGTTTTGCACGCTGGGTGGGCATGTGCTTTGGGCCCAGTGTGGTAGCATGAACAGGCCCCAATTCTTCATCAGATTCAGAGCCAGACAAAAATCCCTTGACCTTAACCTTGGGTGCAGACTGCAGCGAAATGTGCACCATTTCGAATGGCGTTCTGCCTCATGTCAACTATAGGCACACATGTGCGCGCCCAAGGAGTGTGTACTCACCCACGACACACCCGTTCCGACATGCTGACGTTTTCTTGAACCCACCAGAGTGCCTCGGGCAACATACAACTCAAACAAGCCGCGCTGCGCCCACTCAAAGCATCACGCTCTGCCCTCATACCTTCGGGGCCGATCAGCTGAGCGCACGCGCACCCCATCCCCGCTTCCCCCCTCGTCCGGCCAGACGTCGGAGAGCGGTAACGACCGTCAGGGGGCTGGTCTGGCCCCGGGCCGCGGGCCCAGCGGCGCCTGGGGGCTCGGAACTGGCCGCCAGCGTAGCGCGCGCGCCTTGCATGTTTCATTGACGGGGATGGGTAGGCGAGAAAGTCGAGCCGGGCGCGGTAGCCAAAGCAGCCGAGGCTTAGGCTGGGAGACGCGATGCGGCTCTAGACGCAGATTTTAGACATGCATTTGTTGCATCAGTGAAAGAACTACGAAGATGGTTGTCGAGGAGAAAGCGATACTAAACCTAAATCTTACTTTTAAATGCTCTTATTTCCCATGTTTGTGTTCAAAAGCATCGGATACCCTTGCTCCTCGAACTTATGATAAATCACTTCTAAATACGCTTAGTTCCCGTGTTTCTGTTCAAAAGCATCGGATACCCTTGCTCCTCGAATTTATTATAAATAAATTATCAGTCTTGTGGCGCTGGCCGCTGTTGGCCACGCCCAACTTCCGGCTTCCGTCCAACTTGACGTCCGGCTGTGAAAACAAGCCCGTCCATTCGCCCGCTTTCCTGTAGACGACTCTGGATGGGGGATAACACCCGCCGGTTTCAAATGCTCGGTGTGCCTGTACATTGGGTCCAGCGTGGCAGGATGAACAAGAGTCCGTTACATTGGCATCTCGACATGAAGGCGGCCAAAGAGCGAGCAGCTCTAGAGCGCTGTCTGACCCGCCTGCGTGACACGCACACATACACACACACACACACACACACACACACACACACACACACACACACACACATATATATATATATATATATATACGCGCGCACGCACGCTCGCACGCACGCACGCACGCAGGCACGGCGGAGCGCGTGGTAAAAGGAGTCGCATTGTCGCGGCGGCGGGGGAAATCTTACACGATTAAAAAACGTATGCTGCTCTGGTGCGCGGCGTTGCGACAGCCTGTGCAGTGCGGTGGTTGGGCATTTGGTGACGAGTAGGCCCATTCAGGTCATAGGGACCCTTCCAGCCCAGCGGATAAAAGTAAAGTCCGAGTAACTCATCCCACACTCCCACAGTTCCACAGTTGGAATGATCTCACCGACTGCTTGAATGGGGGCATGTTTCAAAAATGTGCTCCGTTGAAACCTTAAGGCCACTTATGTGTAGTCATAGCCATTGCATCACAATATACAATAGGAAAATATTCTTCGGCATTTTCGAGCCAAACTATAGCCAACATTCCGGCACAGCACTCTACTTTTTCTATCCTTGAAGCCCAGATTTCCGTTTTGGGCATGGACGATCTTGGCGCATACAAGTCATTCAAGCGCGATAATGATCCTAACCTCGAAGACAGTGCACGTAGTTTCTTAGCCGATTTAGCCCAAAATTGTCGCGGCAATATTGACATTTTAAAGAGAAAAGGCTACCTGGGAACGACCACAACCGAGCTCTCAGAACAAATGAAGTGTGCTGGTCAGAAGGCCCTCCGCCATTTGTGGGCGTGAATGACGTCAGAAAACATGAGCGTTTATTGGCGCGGCGGACTGCTGCACTCTAGCGGCGAGATCATCTAAGCATCGCACTCATCATCTAAGCACTAGCGGTAAGAGCTTCACGTAAGCCACCCAGCCATAACAGCACTGGTAAAAGCTTTAGCATGAGCGTCACTAGCCACGGGATGTGTCACGGGTACAAGTCGCGTATATGGTACACACGGTATTAAGGCAGCCTTACAATGCACAGATCATCCAAAGAAGATAACGTCTTCCGAAGCCAAACTGCCCTTCGAAAAGCCTCACTGTGCTGTGGCACGGCATAGCCCTATGGAGACCATGGCGTGTGTGCTAAACGCATAGCCCTGTGAGAGAAATCAAAGTCATGGCATGACTTTCGGTGAGACTACGTGATAAAGCCGTCATATTAATATCGATTTTCCCTACATGCTGTGTTTCACGCTCTCATGCTGTTAAGTGGTCAAGCACGTTGGCCACCTAGTGCCTTGCGAACGTTTCATTACACGCATGTTGGGAACGGAAAGGTGAATGCCTTTATTGCCTTTATGGTGGTGAACAGGTGCTCCGGCGCTATTTTTTCTGTCGCAGTGGTTACTGCAAATCTGAGTTGATTCAGAAAGACTTTAAAAAGCTGGCATCACAGAACGAATCGGACACGTTTGGTCTTACTGTGAGTTAAAAATACTTTAGATGGCAAGCTCTTAAAAAAAACGTTGAAAATGTCGTCCATATTGATATGCGCGATATGCATAACTTTGAACATCTTGCAACACGGTTTTAGCACACAGAACATATTCCTAATATCCCTGAGTGCTAATATGGCCAACGAAGTCCCTGGCACTCCATACAAGGGCGTGGCAACGTACGTCGCGTTCCTTTTTTAAAGCTTGTGTCGTCAGGTGGTAATTCACGTGTTCTGTTACGCAAAAATCTGGCATCGAGGGGCAAGTCTACCTTTTATGGCGACGACATGAAGAAACGTACCTCCAAATTTTCGCTCGCACGCACCCAGTTTTATTTCCTCACCTCCTGCAGCCCGATCCGTATCATGGCGTCGTTTGCTCGCGGGAAGCTTACGCACTGCGCCAGGGGAGTCGATTTTCCGCAAGTGAAGATATCGCGTGTTAAAATGAATCATACCAGGCCATTGTGCAGGAGGTTGCTAGACAATGAAGGCCACCTGGACTCCCTAGTCACGCCGTAAAATGTTCGTGTCCATTGGTGCGACGCATGCTTTAGCGGGTTTACCTATTGCGAGCTTTTAACGTTGTCTAAACTGACACCATGCGTACGAGGACGCGTAGTTTTGTGGCGCCATAGATTACTGATAAGTTGGAATAAATGAGTTGATCTTGTTTCAACTAATCGGAGTTGATGTTATCCTATTTCGATTCCCATCACTT